AAGGCCTCTCCTGTGGAAGCATGCTCATCCTTGGTTGGATGGCATTTCCCGGGCTTTCTCTGAACCGTGGGTGATGGCCGCTCTGCATAATCTTATCCGAGGCACATGGCTACTATGCTGGAGGAGACGAAGGAGGCTCCAGAACAATCGATCACTACAACATGGCGTGGTTGTGCACGTTCCTACATCATGGAAAACACAATTCCATTAAAATCCATTAAACTTATTAACTCCATTATCTCTATGGGGATCTCTGCACGGCTGAACTTGGCCCTATAATGGACCTTGTAGGACATAATTCCATAAGTAGTTTGCCCAAAGTGCATACGACATTACCACATTATGTCTTGGGAGTTTCCACGTAGGCCGGCAGCATAGCAAACATCCACCAAAACCTTCTTGTGGAGCCATAAAGGCCACGTAGATGGTGCTTAGAGTGGCTTCAATGACGGTTGCAAGGCCACCATTGGAGGGCAATAACCCCTAGAGACCAAAGTCCCACCGCAACAATAATACCTGGAGCTTGCCCTATTAGAGGCATGCCCACCTCAGCCACCTCTATATTAGAATCCATGGTGCAATAAGAGAAACGCAGAGCTTGGTAGGGTGGGGTTCTAAGGTTAATATTAAACTGATGCTAAGCATATCAAAATCGACTTAGCATCTTCCCTAAGAATACAAACTTCAAGATACTATTTTGCCAAAAAACGTTCTTCTTGCACATCATCCATAAACCAAATATATCACTCCATAATGATAACTGGTTGTGCAATGCATCAACTCGCAATCCCTGCAAGTAGCACATTGTCCATCAAAATTGTTAGTGTGCTATTCAGCATGACAAAGTTTAGTGTGCGAGCATTTCTTTCTACATATATCATAAAGTAGAAAGCAAAAGTGTACAAGATATCTGACTCTCCATTATAATAAGGACTAAGGCGTTGTTAAGTTTGCATTACTGTAAGGATGAGGCGTGGATTGGTAATGAGGGATAATGGAGGGGTGGTCATGAGCGAATGAGAGGAAGGCGTATATTTAGAGGGGGTTTTGGAGAGAGCTACACAAAAGGTGGTAGATTAATGAGTGAGGGAGATGGGTAGCGGATAGGGACCCTAGGGACATCAACAAGAAGACAGGTCTAGGGCGCTGGCCTAAAAGTTTGCAATGGGCATGTTGAGAGGAAGCAATGTTAGTTGTGGGATCAGATAATAATAAGAAAGTCATGCAATCTCATTCGGGAGTGGCCAAACCAGAATAGTTGAGGCGGCTGGTGGAATGTTCCATTTAGTTTGCAGCCTTTGAATAGATCGGCCTCTCAGATTCCATAGAAAATGCATGAGGCAAGTTGAGTGCATAAATAACACTTTTTCTTAGAGCCAATCAGGGTTTAGGCCAGAGCCACTGACAGCAAAGGCTAGGGGTTATTAACCATGTGACTGCACCACCCTCCAAGGAGTTGTTTAATTCACTAACAAGTAGATTGTAATTTATAATTATCTTTACTCGTTTTGGTAATCGAATGATAATACACTCACAAAAAAACTATGACAATGACCTTACTGAATAGGATGGCCCGGGTATACCACTATTTCCGTCATAAGAAAGAAAATATAGAAAGTGCCTAAGAATTCAAAAACTCCTTTTTTTGGCTGCAAAAAGGGCACAAAATTAATGTTGAAATTTGCTGTTGTTCTATAGGATACGACTGCATTGACTGAGATTGTGAGCTAGTAGTGAGCCTGCCAAAAAGGAAATGGCACAAAAGGTGCTGAAAAAATGACAAATGAAAGCAAGGTTCAGCATATGGTGGTTTAGTTACTACTGCAAGCAAACAAACTCGAATTGGCATTCTCCACATATAATACAATATGGAAATGTTGCAAGAATCCATCAGAGTTGTGGTCATTTTATGCGGCCCTGTGAGTCGGATGCGATCGAGTTCCTTGCATCAAGCTCCATGCGACAAAGGTACTTTGCACTGCAATGGAGCCGCAACCCCTTGCATGGTGGCACGGCACAGTCGCTGGCAAGGCGGAGGGCACAGGGGGCATGGTTGGTGGAGTTCAGCATTGGAGTACCAAGGAAACAGACCATGCTCTGGCATGTCTAAGTTGTGATCCACCGGAGCCATATGCCCGATGACACTTCTATCAACTTGAAGCTGCACTACCATAAGTATATGCACATATTTATGCATGTGCATGATTGGGCACTGCTAGCGCAAAGGGAGAGAGGTTGCGAAGCAAGTGTGCAAATGCCAAGAGAATGGGAGATTCCATTAGAAAGATCCATAATGCACTAATAAGATGGGGATGGGATGTTGTTTGACCGCGAGGAAGGATGGTTGGATTAGGCTGTGGAGTGGCTACTTGGAGTGAGACAGTTATTGAAATTTTCTGGAGTGATAATTACGTAATTTGAAAATGTTGTTTAGAGCCTTCTGTTTCCAACGCGCCTTTAAATGCCCAATTCTATTAAGAAATGGCGAAGTTATGGCCTTCTGAAGCTATGGTACTTATTCGTCAGGGGGTCGGGTGTTAGATGCTTGGAATTAGAGGAAAATTGGGCGATCAAGGGTGAACGGTTGTTTGGGGACACGAGCTGGAATGCACACTGACTTGTCTTGTCTTGACGTGACCATGACGGACCTGTGATCGGGCATCGCGCATGCGGATTGAGTGCACACGCATTCAGGTCACTGTAATCGATCTTGGCCTACATTCTGGCCTCCCATGAGCCAGTGAACCACCGTCAACGCTGCGCCACCACCACTCGCCCATAGCAGGCCCCGAGGAACGATCCCCTTTATTCACTGGGTCCACTGCACGATTTAGCAAACGACCGCCCCAAATACGCACGCCGACAAGGTGGAGAGGTCAGCTGGCCTCCAACAGATAACCCACAGGGCTGGGCAACCCCAACGCCTTCGAAAACAAGTGGCTGCCTTCAGAGTCGCGACAAAGGCGGTGAGATGCTGAGCTGCCTTCCACTTTCGGCTACATCCCACTTTCAGCTGCCTCATCTGAAGTTGAACGCGTGGGACTATGGCGCTACAATGCTCATTTACCATAAGTAGTTTGGCACCATCCCATTGCGAGTCAATGGCGACCTCCTCGCAATACTGCATTTTAGCCCAGTGCATACAAAGGGGGAGACATGGAAAGGTGAGGCAGTAGGACGCGGGGCTGCCACACTACAACAAGAGTGGTGTGAGTGTGAGGAGGCACGGTTGCAGTGGGTGGGGCATGCACTGACAATGGTTAGCATGCAGACCAGAACCTGTAAGATGGGCAAGTGAAAGAACACGGGGTTTTTCTGTATAGCAATAGAGCAGTTAGTGGTGTAAAGGTAGGTTGTGGCCAGTGTAAAGAGTTAGGATTTCTTGGTGTAATTCGCCCAGAAGGATGGTGTGACAGACCGGGAAGAGGGAGAAGCAAAGAGACCCCAACGGGGGTATAAAGGGTTTGTTGTCAGTCTGGGAAAATACTCTTTTGTTAAACAAAGCCTTGTAATGAGCACTAGTCCTGGGGACTTTGTTGCCTCTTTGTTGTCACCTTGTGAATTTATGTTTTGGTCTTTGGATACCGGTGATCTGCAAGGCTGCCCCGTTTGTGCAAACAACTTATACCAGACAGGGGGCTAAAGCCCTAGTTGCTGGGGATTCACCGAACCTCAGTTCTGTCTGACCGGGAGTAGAATGTAGGTGTGGCGACATATAAGTACACATGACAAAGGGAAGGGTTAGTATTTTCCATTGGTCTATCAAAACGCAGAATACAAATTACTGCATGCACGCTATAACCTGCAATACATGTATATAATTTGGGTTGTGTTTAGTTATGTGTGTATGGGAATTGCGTAGTACGTGCCTGTACAAAGAAATACTGCGTTTTTCCATAGTGGGAAAGACCATGGAAGGTTTTTGGTTGCAGGGTGGGTGTTGTGATTTAGCTGACTATAGGGTCTTTTGTTGTACTTTCTAGATCACAACATATTGTTGTCGGGACTGGGTAGGTTTCATTGTTTGTGATTCCTAAGAATATGGAGACATTGTCTGGGATACTAGCTTGTGCTGGATGCGGGATTTAGGGTGTATTCATTGCCTGACATGGTGTGAAAATGGGCCCACCGAACATTAACTCTTAATTTGGTTGTATTTAGCAAATGTGCTGGCTGATTGTAATGAACTTGTTCCAGTTGCCTTGCTCCCCACCTCCGGTGGTCCTAGGCGCGCCCCGTGGGCGTCACCCCTCAGGGGTGGGTCGCGGCGGTGCACAACAGTGGGAGTATATGAGTACCAAACTGGTCCATCCCGGTCTGAATTGCTCATAACAATAGATTTATGGTGTGGAATTCTGGCAATTTGCATCAATTTGTTTAAATTGTGGTAAAACTATATTTCTGTGGTGTTCAATAATCGTGGAAATACCTTAATGTGTGTGGTTGACTAATACCGGCATATTATGTAAGCGAATGAACCCACGTGGGTTCACATGCATGTTTGAGTCAGTAATTCGTGTGTTCCGAGGGCAGCAGTTTTCTGCCTAGTTTACACTAACCACCACAAAGTACTGCTGCGAGTATAGTGGAAAGTGGTGTGTTGCCTTTTTAGATTCTGAACGCAACTAGTGCACGGGAGTACTGCAATAACATGTTGCTGGCTTTGTTGGTCAAGCGCGTGGAGTACAACCCCTGCAAGTACTTTAAATGACCGTCGCTACATCCTGATGTGACCAGTGCTGCTTCTACCCAACTTCCTGCGCCATTATTCGATCGTCTTCTTCAATTTGCTGCCATTTCGAGGAAGGTGCACCAGAGCCGGCTCGCCGTGCTGCGACCCGTTCGCACTGGCATTACACTTCCCACACCCTCACGCGCTCCACAATCCGCACACGTTGCGTGTCATCTCGGGAAGTACGGGCGTGCCATAAGCACCAGGTTTCGACCCCGACCGCGACATGTGGCGCTTCGGCACAGCGCGCCCTCTCCCCGTGGCCGCCATGGAGCTGTGGGCGGCCGCTTGCCTCGCGTGCCTGGCGGCGCTTTGCTTTGCCCTCTGCCAGATCGTGCTGTCGATAGCCGCGGGCCGCTGGAAGCTCCGGCACCTCCCGGGCGCCCCCACCCACCTCTTCTTCGGCAGCCTCGACATCTGGCCGCGAAAGGCTATCGAGGCCGGCAGGAAATGGCGATCGGAGCACGGCGACGTCGTCAAATTCTTCCTGGGAGCCAGGCGAGTCGCCGGGAGCCCGGTGACGGGGCCTGATCCGCGGACCGACGCCCGTGGCGAGCGTCGGTCCCCGCGTTTTGCCCTTGCGCCACGTTGTTGACGCTCCGAGTTTCGAGTGCAGGCCCATGGTGATGCTCCACGACCCGGACCACGTAGGACAGGTCCTCAAGACGCTGTCCGCCTTTCCGGGGCGGTTCTTGGCGACCAACGTCGAGGGAAAGGTACGCATGTCCCGAAAGCGGGAGACGATCGCGCCCAAACCGCGTGTCCAGTTGCGCCGTTCTCTTGGACGCAATTCGCGCTTCCCTCGGCGCCATTCCCTTGTCTCTGCCTTTCCCTTCCCTCGACTTGTCTTCGAATTCACTGAACGTCTCGTTTTGCGTGGCCATGCATGTTCGCCGCCACCCGTCCTCGCCTAAGATTCCCAGCATGCTGGCCGTGGAGGGCCCCCTCTGGAAGTTCCTGCGCAACTCGACCGCACCGATCTTCTTCAAGAGTAAGGGAACGGACTGGCGCCCGGCTGTCACCAGACGCTGTCAGCATTTGTTGGTGCGGGTTGTCGTTTGCGAACAACACGTGCTGGCGCCCGCGTTCTGTGCGGAAAGTGCGGAACTTCCTTTGCGCAAGAGTGCAGACCGGTAACGACAGCACCCGTGTGGCGCCCGTGGACGCGCAACGCGTGTGCGCGGCTGGGCCGGTTGTGTTCTCCCGGCGGACCAGGAGCAGCATCGCCTTCTTGACGCCTGCGAGGCATGCGGGCGGCTGAGATGCTTTGAAGATGATTTGGTAGAGATGGCTTGGAGCCGGTTTGGCTGAGATGTTGGTGGCCCTGGCAGGCAAACTCGCGAGGTTCACGAGCGTGGTTGAGAAATGCGCGGGGGCGATGGTCCGCCAGATGGGCGTCGACGGAGGCGCGGGGAAGAGCGTGGAGGTCCTGGAGGCCTTCAGGTTGATGACGCTGGACATAATCGGGACCGTGGCCTTCGGGGTGGAGATCAACGCGATTAAGGACGACACGGGGGAGTTCGGGAGGGTGCTCCGGGACTTCCTGCAGGCAGCGAGGACGATGGTCTCCAGGGGCGGAATGCCGTTCATGGTGATGCGCGCACTGGGGTCGATGGGCCTGCAACTTCCTCCGCTGGTGGTGCAGAGGTGAAGGTCGTTGTGGTCAAAGCGGAAAGGGCGTCCGGCGATGTCCATAACCCTCCTGCGCGGCAATTTTGCGAATTTTGTTATTTTCTTCGGGAACTTCACATGATCTTCCACTATGTGGAAGACGCAAAAGTGTCAGATTGCGACAGGAACAGCATACACAGAACCACCTCACAATGAATCTGGTCATGCAGACAAAGGAAGCTGACAGGCGAGTGATTGGCTGCTTGGCGATGCGCCATGCTCATTCTTTGGGGGACCAGATGTAAGGTGCATAGTTGCGGACGGCCATATACATCGTTGGGGTTCTTGCTGCCATGTACCCTTCGCGTCCAAACTCATTGCTTGAGATGCTCATTTTGAATCTGGCCACAACATCACACTGCGCATTTGGTGCATTACCAAGAAATGGTGCAACTCAGCATATTGCCCGTGTAACAATGTTAAAAGAACCATTCGGGTAAATGCGAACATTGTCTGCAATTCCTGCTGACGCTATATTCTGACACTAGACACTACATTCTGATCACTCTATTGCTCCCAGTCAGCAGCCACCTCTGTACATGAATCTCTCTCTACATGACATCTCTTTACTTTGCTTCTGACCTACATCGCCGAAAGGTGGCACAGGCTGTTGACATCATGTTTATGCTGCTGGGAGCGGAGTTGGGTTTAGTGAACGCTATGTAATTAAGCACTTCATCATCAACATTGTCTGCAATGTTGACATGTGGGCCGACCTACCACACGATTGTCAGTTGTCGAATCAGTGACATTGAACGCAGTGTTGTATCACTTCTGTTGAAATTTCTAGCACTATTCAATATGTCACCCCTCCATTTTTCAGCTGCAATACTCTGATTTCTGCTCCTTGTTGAAATTTTGCCTTCAAACGGCAAAGGGAGACCATTGCGACTTGGTACTCTGGTTGCACAAGGGGGACTGAATGCACTGACATAGATGGTTTGAGAGAGCTTTACCCGTGCCAGCACTTCCAGGATACAAACATCTCTGGGTTTTGAAGCATTCGTGAACACGTGAACAAGTGACCTTGTTTCCATCGTCAATATCATGTGCTGAATCTGGTTGCCTGTGTCACGGCCGTGTACCAGGTTGGAGATCCCTTCTGATGTCGGGGGCTGAACACTTGCAGTGTCCAACATGTGGAGAAACGGGCATGGACATCCCCATTGGCAGTCCTTGTTCATGTTTACTCAGTTGATGTTGTTGTTGCCGTTTGGATCGTGCAGAGTATCAATGCCAGAAAGGGTCCTATTCCTGTGCCCTGATGTTAAATATCTTGCTTGTGCGTTGCTGCTTGGTCGCTGTGGTAGAGGCGCCACAGCAAACATTGCCATTTGCAGCCTTGCACTGTTGTGAATCCTTACTATCTGGCCAGGATGCTGGATTGAGCACCTTGCCTTCCATTCTTGCAAGTAAGGCTGAATAAAGTTTGGGCCTTGCTCACCATCGTTACCAGGTTGCCCATAGCCCAACCCTTGAAAAGATGCGCACAGTTGATCAACCTGACCATCACCAGCATTGTTAAAAGCCGGAGGAAAGAACCTGCGATGGAAGACAAGGCAAAACGAGACTTCATCACGCTCATGATTGAAGCCAGGGAGAGGGAATCAGGCCGTGCACTCAACGATCTTGAGGTAAGGGCCCTGCTGCCTGCGATCGGTCACTGACGATGAGGATATCCCATTGAACAATCATGTCAGGGCACAGTGTTCAGCATCGCCCAACAGATGAAAAGGCTGTGGCTTGCTGCCAGCAAAGTGCTGTATTTGGACAGTGTATTTGGCACATCCCTTCGCCTCACCTGATTGGAATCCTCCACTCATGCAATGCATCAATTTCATTGGAGCAGTTATTCTGACAGTGGCGCCTGACAGGAATTGTTTCAATGCTGTGTTTGTCTGCAGATAATGTACAACTCCCGGCTCTTCCTAATAGCAGGGCATGAGACAACCGCCGGCACGCTTGCCATTTTCCTTTATCACGTCACACGGCACCCAGAGGTGCAAAAGAAGATCTTGGAAGAGGTGGATCGGCTGAACGATGGTTCACCGCTGGCCTATGAGAGCCTGGAAAAGTACCAATACATGGAAATGGCCTTAAACGAGTCCATGCGCATGTTGTCCGTGGTCCCAATGTTGAGCCGGATGGCCAAACGAGACTTCCATCTTGGGGGGACAGTGCTAATACCCAACGGGACAGCCGTCATAGTGCCAGTACACTTGCTCCACCACGATGCCAAACTTTGGGGTGACCCGGAGAACTTCAGACCAGAGCGTTTCGACCCAAATTCGGATGAGTGTCGGCAGCGCAACCCCCATGCTTTTGTGCCTTTTGGTGGGGGCCCGAGGGTGTGCATCGGGTTGAAATTTGCCGTCATGGAGATGCTCTTGGTGCTGATCATGCTGTACAGGCAGTACACATTTAGCCTTGACATCAGCCGCACATCGGTTCCTTTGAAGTACACCTCTTCGTTGACCATCGAGCCGATGGATGGGATCCATCTGCACGTCCACAAACGAGAAAATGGAAGAGATGTTGGTGTGAAGGCGACCTGATGCGCTTATTTGCTGATGACCAGTTGTCGCACACAGAAGGTTCACCCCCACTGCAGTGCTTCACTCTACCCTTCAGCGTGCTGTTCCACTGTTGATACCTGGAATTGAAGAGGGTGGTGAGTGTGTTGGAACGATTGGTGTATGATGGCGGGCCAATGCAGGCGAGAACAAATAATATCTGGGTGAGGCGTTTTCTTCTTGCATATGCGAAATGATGAGATGGGCATGTGGCATTTAGATTTGTTGGGCAAAAGACTGGTTTGTCAGGACGATCACTACGGCTGAGTCATTGGTTGCATCGTTAGTTGAGGGAACATGTCTGTATCATAGATGTGGTCGGGGGCGATAGGCTGCCCTCTAGTATTCCAAGGGGATGTGGCAGAGGGATGCGCCTCTCATGGGAGAGGAAGTCAAGAACCAGTGCAGAGAGTATGTGGTGTATGAACTGCCAGCAACAGCAAGCTCATGGTCAGCAGCTGCCATAACGGTATCCTTCACAAGTACTACCGTATTTACCCGGTATTATTAGGCACCCTCTTTTAGTATCCACCCCCATCTTTGGGGGTCGAAACCACGTTAGTATCCATGACCCGGTGTTAGTATCCACCCCCAAGTTTCAACAGAAACGAGCTCAAGAGGGCTCGTTGGACTCGCCTTGGAGAGAGGAAGCTATTTTGCACGTCTTTGCTTGCGCAGCACTCCTGTTGCATGCCTTCGACGTGCAGCAGCTGCAGCAAACAGCTCACCCTATAGTGCGATGCACTTGATGGCTGCAAGCTTCACAGCTTAAGCAGCTGATCTGATGGCGAAAGAAGTTGTTTGCTTGTCGAGCGACTGCAGGCCAGGCGTCCATTGCACAGTTATGGACCTGGAGTCAACTGCAGACCTGCCGGCAGGGCTTATTCCTGTCGCAATTCTCGCTATCGTGCTCACCTCCGCAGCCATCACGCTGGATCCTGCGGCACTCAGCCGCACAACAGCGATTGAAAAGTGCATACGACCACTTCGACTATGCGCACCGTGGTTTATCAGCCGCATACGCACGTGCTTGCCCTGCGCTATGGGATCTTCGGATTTTCTTGTCCGTTGGGGGTACTCGATGGTTGTTGTTGGCAGCCCCAAGGTGCGGCTGGTGACACGCTGCATGCCACACGCCCAGCCGCCAGCCCTGGCGTTTCTCACAACCGGTCTCCACACACTCGCCGCTAAGCTTGCCCAAGCTTTCCTTCAGGTTGACTAGAGGCGCACGAACCGAACCCCACGGCAGGGCCACCGTCCACACGAATGCGCTGGCATCTCCCGTCAAATTTGTTGCAAATGTACATTTCATTTGCATCAAATCTGTTCTGCCACGCAACGCCAGTCTGGCGCTGGCGCTCTGTGCGCACTGAGCCGCCGCAACACCAGGCGCCGCCTAGCAGGCGCCTCCCACCAAGCGGAGGGAGGCGAACAGCAAGGTGTCGGAATCTTGGCGCTGCAATGAGGAACTCCCACAAGGCGAGAGAAAGTCAAAGCAGCGGTTTTGTGAGTTAAAAGAATTGCAGACCACGCAATTGAATCAATGGCTTGTGTAGAGGGAGCTTGCGATTGGCACTCACTGTACCTCCAAGCGCATCCGATCTGGCGATTCCCAAGATGGTGGGAAATTTTGACAGATGGAGAAAGATTTGCATGCATGGATCCTTGACTTATGGGGGCAGCACGTTGCTGTCACCCGGAGGAGCATTATGAGGGAAGCTTTGCGTTTGGTGCAACTCCCAAAATATGGTTATAGTGAAGTTGATGTCCAGGGATTCAAGGCGGGGCAACACTGGCGCCAACGATTTATGATCAGATTTAGCTTGGCATTGAGAAGAAGGACTTCTTACCCACAGAAGCAGCCTGCTTACCTTGCACCAAAAGTGGAAGAGTTCCAGAAATATACCAAAAAACTATGCCAGGATCTTGATGTGGGAGGTGATCACTTGGACAATATGGATGAAACTCCTGTGTTTTTGGATATGCCCCACGAATTTAGTGTGAGCACCAAGGGAGCCCATCACATCAATGTGTGCATGACAGGGCATCAGAAGAGTCGCGTGAGTGTTGTACTTTGTTGCAGTGCTTCAGGGCACAAAGCAAAGCCCCTTGTTATTCTCAAGCGGAAAAACAACAAGCTCCCTAGATTGCCAATTGCGGGGAGATGGCCAGCATGTGTGGAGATTGCATGTCATCAGAAAGGGTGGATGGATGTTGGGGGCATGAGAACATGGTTCAATCGCTGCTATTTACCTTACCAACACTCCAAGTTGTTCTTCCGTACAGGCCGCACAGTTCTTACAATGGACAGACTCAAATCGCATTTGGATTTTGAAGTCAAAAAAATGTACAGGCAAGCAGGGGCTCACATTGCGATTGTTCCCAGTGGTTGTGCATCTGTGGTGCAATTATTGGATGTTGGGGTCAACAAAGTGTTCAAGGGTCACTTGCGAGGATATTGGGATGAGTGGATGGCAGATCGAGCCAACCATTCATACACAAATCAAAACAATATGAGGGCGCCACCTTTGTGGCTGGTGTGTCAGTGGATTGAAAGGGCTTGGGGTGCAATTCAGCCAAGCACTATTCAGAATGCTTTTTGTGCATGCAAGTTCATTGCATGTAGTGAAGATGTGTGGCAGAATGTTGTGGATGATATCAGGAATGCACTGCATGAGGTTGACGATCAGTTGGTGGCGGGACCTGATGATATGGGAGAGGATTCGGAGGGTGTTGATGAGGATTTTGATGGCTTTGCATCAGATATGGATGTGGACAGCGATTGATTGTGAATGCATTTCTGCATTTTTGGTTGGATTTTGTGACTTTGACTTGGTGATGTGGTTGTTGTTGTATTGCATCTTACATTTTTTCAAGCCTATTTTTGGGCATTTCACTGCCTATTTTCTAAAAATTTTCTTGTCTACTCCTTGGATTGGGGGTCTAAACCATGTTAGTATCCATGACCCACTATTAGTATCCACCGCTTAAATTTGAGGTCCAACACATGCCTACTAATACCGGGTAAATACGGTATGTGAGATTGCATGTGTAGAGAATCAAGAGCCAACGTCGAAAGTATGTCCAATATGTGTCACGAAGGAACTGCCGCGAGCACCAAGTGCAAGGTAGATTCCGTGATGGTATCCTTCACGTGCACTAGGTCAGGCTGCATGTGTATGCACTAGGGATGGTACCCGGGCTGGCAACACCAGACCCGGGTACCCGGGTGTACCCGGGTAACCCGGGTACCCGCGAAGAACTGGGTACCCGGGTACAACCAGTACCGTGTCTGGGTATGTACCCGGGTACGGCAAGATGCTCCCCTGCGCCCACGCAGCGCTGGCTGGCTGCGCTCTGCCGCGCTTGGCTGGCTGCTGTCTAACGGAGTCCGTGACGACGACGGCGCCCCTCGCCTGACGTTGTATTCCACGAACCGTGCGTTCTTCTGGCACAATCTGGAAAGGGCTGGACGCCCTTTGGTCAACGATCGCGTTGACGATCCGGAAAGAACAACAACCACAACAGCGACAACGCAACTATACAACTGTCAGATATCAACGATAACAACGCCCAAAAGCAATCGCCGATTCATCGAGTTCAAATTGCTGGGCATGTCCTGCGCGCACCAACTGTTGCGCAGTGGAATGGACGAACTGCAATCCCCAAGGGGCAGCTCTGGTGCCAGGGCTGCAACACAGCCGGTATCCTAGGGACCAACCCGTCGGAGCCCAGCTGCATTTTCTGCAGACCGCTGGTTGCTGCAGGTGTGTAAAGATGTTCCAACCCGTCAGATTCCCCGATTTTGGATCGCCGGCGCCCCCAGATCTCCAAACGCGCGGCCCAAAGAAGAGTGTGCGGAGAGCATCGGCGCCGTGCACGATCGCGACGCAGTCACACACAGTGTGGACGGCGACCTTCGGAAGCAAGGGCGGTGGGTAGCTATTCACCGGGCGACCGCTGGTCAAACGTGCTGTACCCGGGTCCGTACCCGGACCCGGGTATTGGCAGTACCTGGGTAATCCGGGTACCCGCCGGTACCCGCCTGTACCCAGGTACGTACCCGTACCCGCCTACCCGGGTACAAGGGTTGGCGGGTACCCGGATAGGCGGTACTGGAAAAGACAATACCCGCCCCGGATACCCGGGTTTCCTGTACCCGGGTACCATCCCTAGTATGCACACACCAATGTTGGTGGAGTGACGACTCGGAGGTAAGGGACTCTATGCCAAGAGGATTTTAAGAGCCGCTTGTTGTGGATTCCCGATGATGCATGCTGTTGGAAGTCCTCAGCAGGATAGCACGTCATTGTCATGCATTGCCCATTGGGCCATATTGCTCTCAGTTTTAAATGCGCATATGAAGGTGTTGGTCTGAAGTAACACAACCTGATGGTGGTCTTGGGTTGATGTACGTTAATGCCAATGGCTAGGGTGCCAATGGGGCTACTATTATCTTCTTGTTCACATCACTCATGGGCTACAGTCGTTTGCATTCTTGACTTCATGTGCCACATCAATGCACCCTAACAGGTGATGGTTTGGGGAGCAGCATTCCCATACACAAGTCAAATAAATGTATGGGATATACTTTTAATAATATAGTGATGTGTAATGATGTGCTTCTATGGTATGATAATTTGTGCACATAGCAGTGGGTGGAGAAAATATAGTGGCTCTTTGTCCAAACACCACTTCGTTGTATGCTGTCTAGGACACGCCCACAAAGAAGGCTGACCCATCAATACATTGGAAGGCAAGCACAAGTAACAATTATCAATGCCCACTGACAATTTATACATGTCTTTTTTGGAATAAACTGCTAATCAACTCGTTTTGCGTATACAGTTGCCATGCAGCCATTCGTCCTGCAAAAAATGGATTGCAAAGATCATGGCCTTGACATGGCCAAACATCTTCGGAGGGCAACAGTGAAAGATCACCTGAAATTCGTCGAATGGGGTCGATTCAGCGAGACAACA